GCGGGGTCAGACGCAGTGCGGCGCAACTTCTTGACCCCGACAGGCTGCATCAAGTTCTGGACAACCTCCTTGACTTCCAGGAAACGTACCGCCAACGGGTCCAGCGTGTTGTCGACGAACGCATCGAGGTCGAACGCACTCTCGGGAGGTGGGCCTCCAGGGAATACCGACTCGAAGGTGCTGTAGGCGATGGTAATGGCGTTCGACAGCGCATCCACTTCCTCAGCCACGGACCTTGTATACTTGGTGTCCAGCTGGCCACCCGACGCCCAGGCCCCGAGGAGAAACATCATGTTCTTGCACTGGTTGGCCACCTTGTCTGCGCGGAGGTCGCCCCACCGACTGTCGGGCCCAGGCGGACCCCAACGGCTTTCCGCGCCAGGAGCCACAGGCACGGTGCTCTCGACATCAATCGTCGTTGGAAGCCGCGGTCCGAGCGAAGAGCTAGCACCTTCCTCCACGAAAGAATCACCCTGCTGCTCTAGCTCCAAGAGGTGCTCACGTTCGAGGTCAGACATGCTTCGTAGTATATACTTCTACTGCGTGGGAACGTGAGCCAACATGGCTATGGATGGCAATGGCAATGATGGTGATGTTGCTGCGTATGACCTCACCCTCGTCATCATCATGGTGATGATGGTGATGATGATGATGATGGTGATGATGATGATGCTGCTGCTGATGATGATGATGATGATGAACATCATCATCATCATCAGTTGTTACGCTCACTATCAGCATCACCGTCACCGTTAACATCATCACACTCCTGATCACAGCCGCCCATCATCTTTACCAGCCATAGGCGGAAATACGAGGAGGACAACATGAAGAGGTTTGAGGATGAGAGGGCTAAGGGTGAATGCGAAGGGCGAGGAGGGCGGATGGAAGGAGGAGGCCGAGGACGAGGATGGTTAGCGTGATGATCTTGGGGGGCGAAGTGTGTTCATCTTCGGAATTGCCCCTAGGAAGTCGAACCGTTGCTGGCTCCTCGGAGCCGAGCGCCCCAGCGTGTCAACGCACGCGTGCAATCAAAAGATGCCTGTGACGCCATGCCTACTGCCTCATTTTCTTTTTCGGACGCTGGTACTTGTTACGGAGCTCGTCCGTCCACGCAGTCGCTGCCGCCTGCGCTGCCTCCCTGACCTTCTGCGGCGACACGCCTGTTTTCTTCATCTGGGTGATCTGTTTGCCGTAGACCCTGCTGTGCTCGCGGTTGAGGAACTTGCGCCACTCATCGTCCGACATGCTCGCAGGGTCAGGCCGTGTCGCAGGGGCTGCTGCGCCGTCGGACTTCTGCTCCTGGGTTGCTGCGTCGACGGGTGCGACGTCGCCGATGGCCTCGGTGCCCTGCTCAGGAGGTGCGGCCGATGGACGCTTCTTCGCAGTAGCTGGCCTCCTCTTAGCAACCTTCGGCTCCTTACCCGCCTTCGCCTTCTCAACCGCCTCCTCCTTCTTTCTCTTCTGCAACTCCTTCCAATCCTCAGTGCCTGGCGGCGTGAGGGACTTCTCCAAGAGCTGCTTCGCGCCCGTGTCGGCCAACGGCGACGCGGCTGGCAACAGCTCCTTGGTGTTGGCCTCCTTGGTGTCGGCCTCCTGCGTGCCGACGTCCTTGGTGTCGGGCTCCTTGGTGTCGGTGTCGGCCTCCGCGTCGAGCTTCTTGGCGTCGGCATCCGCGTCGGCCTGATGGTTCACCTGGACATGTGGTTGGAGAAGTGCGACCAAGTCAGCGTCGGTGCTCGTAAAGAGCTCCGAGCGATCCCAACTGTCGGCGATCCCCTCATCGTCACTGCTGCTGACGCTGACTGTGCTTTGCCCTGGCGCGCGTGTCGCTGTCGCTGGCCTCGGGGACGTTGGCGTGACCACGATCAAATCCATGGCGACGCTGAAGCTCTCCACGAACGCGGCTGGGATCCCGCGCCCCTTAGCCTTCTGTGAGGCCAGCTGGGACACCAATGCGCGCAAGCGGAATGCGCAAGCCTCCGCCTCGTTCTTCCTCACCTGCATCCCGTGCTGCTCGAAGTACGCCTCCACGCCCGCCGCGAAGGGCACCTGGAGTGCCTGCAAGCCGCCTGTGCGCTGCAGCATGCGCGAGACGGCCTTGGCCAAAGGCTTGGCCGCGGCCCAGTTCGGGCTTCGCCCGAACGTGAGCTTGTCGCACAAGACGAACTTGCCGTCTACGAACTGGGAGGCAGGCACAAGGGACATCACCTCCGCCACATCATCCTTCGACAAGGTGGCCCCCCGAGTGGCTGGCATGGCGCTCCAGGTCTTCTGGAGCCTCGAGCCCAAATGGGCTACGGATGTTGGCTCGCAGTTTCTGTTTTGTTTTCGTAGCGCCCCAAGATAGCTCAAATATCCCCCTAGGTCGGCCCAAGATGGTTTCAACACGTATGGGGGCGACCACCGACGACCCAAGATGCCTTCAAGAGAGCAGGCCGCCAGTCCCCACAACTGCTACCTCATACGTAGTCGCAGCTGACAACAGACTATGGCCCGCAAGGCTTCTTGTCTTGTTTGGTCCTCATCCACCTACAAAGGGGACAATAGGAAATCTATATTTTATGAGGGTTCTCGTCTGTGTTGCTGGATTGGGTCCTCGTTTATCTTCTGGGGTTCGGTGCCTCTTTAAGTCATTCAGTCCAGTCAGTCAGCCAGTCAGCCAGTCCAGTTAGTCAGTCAGTCCAGTTAGTCAGTCCAGTCAGTCCACTCGGTGATGCACCAATCAGTCAGTCCAGTCAGTCACTCTTGGATGCATGCTCAGTCAGTCAAGTCAGTCAGTCCAGTCAGTCCATCTGCCAGTCAGTCCAGTCCGTCGGCCAGCGAAGCCAGTCAGTCCAGTCAGCCAGTCCAGTCAATCAGTCCACTCGTTGATGCATCAACCAGTCAGTCCAGTCAGTCACCCTTGGAAGCCTACTCGCCCAGGCAGTCCAGTCAGTCAGCCCAGTCAGTCCAGCCAATACATCAGTCAGTCCAGTCAGTCACGCGTTTGATGATGTTGTGGATTTTGATTACGATGGATGTCTTTTTTCATCCCTGAACGCGCCCGCGACTCCGTCGGACAGTCTAATTCGTCGGGAGTGTGATCAGAAACGCTGGCATTTGTGGCCACGGGCCCGAAACCTGATGAGACCTGGTTGCAAGTGAGTCCCACCAGCCATCTGGGCGACAGGTGGTCTAGGGAGATTTCTCTTCCCTCTTCCAACAATCCCTTCTTCCCCTTCGGGGGGGGGTGCTTACCCCTCCCCCCACCCCTCCCCTGGACCTGGACGGGGCGTTTCGCGGGGAGTTGGAGCGCCCAAGATGGCCTAAGATGGCTTCAAGAGGGCCTCCGAAGTTCCAAGTTGGCCTCCAAGATGGATCAATACGGCTGAAGAATGTCAAGGCAAGTTTCGACATGCCTCCAAGAGGCCGCAAGAGGGCCACAAGACAGTTCCAAGTGCTCTCGGAGACCCCTCAGGGCCTCCCCAAGAGCCCACATGTTTTTAACATCTGAGGGAATCGCTGATGTTTGCCTTCTCTTCGCTTCCGATGCGCTTCTGAGGCCTCAAGATGGCCCCAATATGGCCCAATAGAGCTCCAGTAGGGGCCCAGGAAGCCCCCAAGACGGCCCCAAGATCGCCCAAGACCGCCCTAAGAGGAGCCCAAGAGCGCATCAAGATGCGGGCCCCAGGGGGGGGCGCCGATCGGAACTCACCCCTCTTTTGACCGATAGCCTCCAAGATGGCCCCAAGAGGCGCTCCAGGGCTCCCAAAAGAGTCCCAGGAGGGTCCCAAGAGCGCCCAAAGAGGCCCCAAGATGGCCCCAGAAGCCCCCAAGACGGCCCTAAGACGGCCCAACTATGGCTCAATATGGCTTCCAAGACGCCCAAGACGGCCTCCCAAGAGAGCCCGAGATGCCTCCAATATGTCTCCAAGGCGGCCCAAGATGCACCCAAGACGGCCCAAGATAGCCTTAGGATGGCCCACGACTGCCCAAGACGACCCCTGAGGGGCCTCCAAGGCGGCCCTTTGATAACGAGGAAGTCTCATGCGGGAGGATCGTGCCTGAAAGGGCTCAGGCGGGAGGTTCTTGTTTTCTCTGCACACCTGCACACCCCACGCATTCCTTCCTTCCTCCCCTCTCCCTCCTTGTCTCTCACACGTTCTCATGATGATGATCAGCATCATCATAATCATCATCACTCCACACACCCACCCACTCATCATCATCATCATCATCATCATCATCATCATCATCATCAACACCGTCATCATCGCCATCGTCGCCATCACCATCTCGCGCAGTTACGAAGCCATTCACACACTCTCGCGCACACACACACACATTCACACATACGCACCTTGAGGAATGCGGGAGCCTCGTCTGTGAGAGCATTTCGAGGAAGTCTCAGGCGGGAGCCCCCTCCCTATGGGGCCGCCACCTCCCTGTTCGAATCCGAGTGGGGTCATCGGAAACTTGTAGTATCGTCATTTTTGGGTTTCTGGCCTGGAATATGGAAGAAGTCTCAGGCGGGAGGCGCCCGCTTAGGATGTTCAGGTTAAGACGGCTTCTTAAGCTTCGATGGATAGGGAGTGGCCATTTTGGGTGAATATAAAAAATGGCGCGGCAGCGTTTTTCAAAAAAAGACGCCGCAGGGCGTCGTTTTTCTTGAAGGCCCTTCAGGGCCAAGTCGGAAATGACGCCTTTAGGGCTCGGGGAGCCCTGTTGGTGCGCTCATGGAGCGCTCCTGGAGCGCTCTGGGGGACTCCTCCCGGGACTCTCTCAGGACCTTGCCGGGGTATTTTTCGTCCGGGGACCCCCAGGGGCCGCCCCGCGCGCGCGAACTAGAGAATTCTTAACCAGTTACCGGAGATCTTAGCACGCCTCTGGCCCGTTGGGCCGGCGAATTGCACTGCCGCGCTTCTGACAGGGGCTGTCATTTCTGCACGTTCGATTGCATGGAACGGTTGTGGTCTTGCCGCGAGAGGGTTGCGCAGGCGCGAGCTGCTCTTCGTGAGATGGCGCCCGCTGCCGTGGACCGACTGCTGGCTCTTTGCCTCAGCGGCGATTTCTTCCTGGGCGGCGATGTTCCCGATGTGCCAGGCATTGGCGCCCCCGCTGGCGAGGTCAGGCAGTTGCCAGAAAGGGCCCCCTAACCTCAACCCCATCCCTTGGCCGGGTGTAAATTTTGGGTGGCCCCGCGCCTAGCTGGCCACGCCCCCCTCTTCACTCGCCCGCCGAGAGGTGACGGCAGCGGCGGCAGGAGCGCACGAGGAGGCGGCAGCGGAGGTGACCAGCCCGGACGAGGGGGCGGCGTCGCAGGTGACCAGCCCGCCGCCGAGCGACGATGAGGCACCGAGGGCGATTCGAGAGGTGACGACGAGTGGCGAGGGGGAAGCTACCAGTCACGGCGCCGCGGCACAGGAGGGCCCCGCCCCAACCGCAGGTGACGCGATGGAGGTGACAAGCCCCTCTGCGAGTGGCAGCCCACCCCTGCAGGTGCGGAGCGACAGTAGTGCGGCAGGCCAGCCGGGGCAGCGGCGGCGTCAGAGGCGACCAGCTGGGTCTCGCAAGCAGCGGCGCCAGGGCGCGGCCCCTGGCGACCGCCCGGCCGCGCCGGGCCGAGGTCGCCACCAATTGCCCACAGTGCCAACGCAGGGGCTATTGACTACTGGGGTGGACTACATTTGCCAGCGCAGCTTCAAGTACTTCGTCGGCGTGGGCTCAGGGAGGGCGCGCCGCGTTCGCATGGGCCAGGGCGACGGGCGCCTGCGGGAATGCGGTGGCGGCCTCCGCGCCCGTGAGTCAGAGACCAAGGCGGGCCTTTGCAGACGGTTCTTCTGGCACAAGTACACCTTCGCCGCGGAGGGGCTCCCAGACCGCTGGGCGTGCGGCGTGCCCACCAGCAGACCGGCCCGCCCCGATGCCGACTTGGGGCCCCTCCCGTCACAGGTCCACTTGGAGGAGGAGGACGACGACGACGCCGAGGAGCGCAGGATCGCAGCTGCTGCTTTCATGGCCGATGCATCGCTGGAGCCCACTGCTGCGGTGCTACTGGGGCCTGGCAGCTCTTGGGGGCCCACGCGCTACTTGGGGGTCATGCGCCCAGCCCAGCTGTTCTTGGAATTCGGCCTCTGGTGTGGGGAGCGGGGCGTGGACTGCCCCAGCTGGTGCACCTTCCTTCGCGCGCTCAAGGCGACGCCGTGCCTTCGGTTCCGGAAGCGCACCGGACAGCATGCTTGTTGCGACTATTGCCTCTACTGCAAGAGACGACTGCGTCGACGAGACCTCAACATCCAGGAGCGTGCTACTGCGCTAGAGGAGTACTGCCACCACTTGCACGACGTGATGGCAGATCGTCTCGTGGACAGTAATTTCACTGAGTTGTCCTTGAGCTGCTCCCGCGCCATGCGCGAGCAGGGCCTGCGACTGTCCCAGGTGGCCCAGAACTTGAGCGTCCTGGTCCTCCGCGTCGACGGCGTGGACCAGGCGAAGTTCCGAGTCCCGCGGACGCACTCGCCCTCGCACGCCTTCGAGAAGCTACTGAGGCCAGCTTTGCACGTCACTGGTGCCTGGAGCCACGGTTTCGGTTTCCACCTTGCCGTGTCGGATTGCGACATGAAGAAAGACAGCAATAACACAATCGAAGTCATTGCCAGGATGCTGGAGAGCATCTACGATGCCCAGGGGGCCTTGCCCCTGAGCCTTTACACCGTCCTTGACAATACGTGTCGGGAGAACAAGAACAACATCGTTCTCAAGTTTTTTACCAAGCTGGTGCAGCTCGGCGTCTTCCGCAGCATCACTGTCGCTTTCCCAGAGGTGGGTCACACGCATGGCCCCCTGGACGGCGCGTTCGGGTGGCTGTGCGTGCGCTTGTCCCTCGCGGAGTTTGACGACGCCGATGAAGTCGTGGAGCTACTGCAGGGCTTCCTGGCCAACTTGCAGGTGGACCCGGGGAGTAAGGAAGGGGCAAAGGCGTACAAACTTGACCAGGCTGCTGACTGGGTGACTTGGCTCTCGGGGCTGGATTACCACCTCACGAACATTACTATGAACACGGGCCCGCACTCTTTCCATTTGCGTCGTCGGAAGGATCTCCCACACTCTTCTGCCGAGGGCGCCGTCGCAGGCTGGCCGGGGGCCCCCCCCGCGCGCGCCGACGACCTCATCCTCACACTCAGCCGTCGCATGAGCAGCCGCGCGGCAGAGCAACGCTTACTGCTAATGCCAGCCCAGGCCGTCGCTACCGAGCAGCCCCGCGGCATCCACGCCAGGAAGATTATTCCTGACGACATGCGCAGGGACTTTGAGAAAAGAGCGCGTGTCGTCATGCAGAGTGGGGGGATATCCCGGCGGGCTTACGAATACATCCTGCATTGGGTCAGCGGCCAGCTCAGGCAACACCCGCGCTTGGACGAGTACACGTTCCTCATCCATAGGGCCTCTAGCGCAACGCCCGTGGCACTCAGCGGGCCAGTCTGCGAGCGCGGGCCATCTCGGGCTTCGCAGCCCCGCCCACTGGCAGAGCCGCTCCGCCAGGTGGGCCGGGCCCCCCGGGGGCCCCGGGCCGCCGCCCTTGCAGCCGCGGAGGGGGACGAAGATGTCAGCCCGTTGATAGGCCAGTAGGTCGCCGCTCTGCTCCCAGGCGCAGTGCCATCCAGCGCGGGGCCCTGGCCCGCACTTCTGATCACCAGCCACTGGCGTTGCAGGCAACTCAAAAAGTAAGGTTTCGCCTTAATTCTTGACCCAAGAAGTACGCCTTACACCTATTTCCTTACTTCCCTGCCTCTCCCCCGCCCCCCCGCCCCGCCCCGCCCGCCCAAAGCTTACTTCCCTGCCTTCCCCTCCCCAGGATTGCGTGCCGATGGCCGCCGCCCGTCACTTTCCCCAAGGACCGGATCCGTTTTTGACGGCCCCAGGGCCCGAAAACGGCCACCAGGTGCCGAAATCGAGGAGATGTTGACGAGGATCGACGAAAAAGCGTCGGCCGGCGCCCCTTCCCTCCGTCACGCCTCCTCTGCGATTCCTCCCACCCGTCCTCCCTCCTCTTCCTCTTTCCCTCCTCGCCGCCCCCTTCCCCGCTCCCGCTCCCGCCCCCTCCCCCCCCCGCGCGGCAGGCTCGCCTCGTGGTGTGGTCCACGAGCGCCACGCCGCGCCGCGCCGCGCGCGCGGCGGGCGGCGCTGCCGGCAGGACGAGGAGCAGCAGCAGCAGCAGCAGCATGGCAGCCCCCTCCTCGTTATATTCCTCCTCCTCCTTTCCCCAAGGACCGGATCCGTTTTTGACGGCCCCAGGGCCCGAAAACGGCCACCAGGTGCCGAAATCGAGGAGATGTTGACGAGGATCGACGAAAAAGCGTCGGCCGGCGCTCCTTCCCTCCGTCACGCCTCCTCTGCGATTCCTCCCACCCGTCCTCCCTCCTCTTCCTCTTTCCCTCCTCGCCGCCCCCTTCCCCGCTCCCGCTCCCGCCCCCTCCCCCCCCCGCGCGGCAGGCTCGCCTCGTGGTGTGGTCCACGAGCGCCACGCCGCGCCGCGCCGCGCGCGCGGCGGGCGGCGCTGCCGGCAGGACGAGGAGCAGCAGCAGCAGCAGCAGCATGGCAGCCCCCTCCTCGTTATATTCCTCCTCCTCCTCCTCCTCCTCTCCTCGCTCCTCCTCCCTCCTCCTCCTCCTCCTCCTCCTCCCTCCTCAGTCCCCCCCTCCCTCCTCGTACCTCCCCGTGTGAGCCCTCCGGGGGGGGGTCCCGGGGGCCGCCTCCTCCTCTCTCCTCCTCCTCCTTCCACGCCGCGCGTCGGGCGGAGTCCGGCCGCGGCGGAGGTACGGCCACGCCGGCCGCCCGCCACCGCGGCCCCGTCGCCGCCGACCGTCCCGCCGTCGTCTCGTCGTCCCTTCCTCCTCGTATTTTCCTCCTCCTCCTCCTCCTCCTCCTCCTCCTCCCTCCCCTCCTCCTCCTCCGCCTCCTCCTCCTCCCTCCTCAGTCCTCCTCCCTCCTCGTACTCCGGGTGGACCCCCGGGGGTCCCGGGACCGGCCTCCTCCTCCTCCTCCTCCTCCTCCGTCCTCGCGCGCGTCGGGCGGAGGTGCGGCCGGCGGGCGGAGGCGCGGCCAGCGCCGCCGCCGCCGCCACCGCTGCCCGCCGTCGCCGCCGCCGTCGTCGTCGTCGTCGTCCGTCCTTCCCCTCCTCGTTATATCCTTCCTCCTCCTCCTCCTCCTCCTCCTCCTCCTCCTCCTCCTCCTCTCCTCCTCATCCTCCTCTCTCCCCTCCTCGTACTCCTCGCCCTCTTCCTCCTCCTCCTCCTCCTCCTCCTCCTCCTCCTCCGTCCTCGCGCGCGTCGGGCCGAGGTGCGGGCCGGCGGGCGAGTGCGGCCAGCGCCACCGCCGCCGCCACCGCCGTCGTCGTCTCGTCGTTGTCCTTCCTTCCTTGTGATATCCTCCTCCTCCTCCCTCCTCCTCCGACTCCTCCTCCTCCTCCTCCTCTTCCCTCCTCCCTCCTCCCTCGTCCTCCTGCTCTTCCTCCTCCTCCTCCTCCTCCTCCTCCTCCTCCGTCCTCGCGCGCGTCGGGCGGAGGTGCGGCCGGCGGGCGGAGGCACGGCCGCCGCCGCCGCCGCCGCCGCCGTCGTCGTCGTCGTCGTCGTCGTCGTCTGCCCCTGAAAGAGATCGGATCGGAGGAGGGCGAGCCGAGACAAGGATTCGCGTCTTTTTTGGGCCCTCGGGGGGCTTCATCGTCGCCGCGGCTGGACGCGGTTCGGAAAACTGATGCGTCTGGACCCTGGGAGGGCTCCGGGGCGACGACGACGACGGCGGCGGCGGCGGCGACGACGACGACGAGGGGGCGAAGCTCCAGCATGAGGGATCAACGCATGGGGGCTAAAACCCAAGGGAGGAACGTACGAGGGGCCAAAACCCCAGCATGATGTGTCCACGCATGAGGGGGGCAAGCCCCAGCAAGAGGGGCCAACGCACCAGGTAAAAGGGGCCGAAGCCCCAGCATGAGGGGTCGACGCATGAGGGGTGCAAGCCCCAGCATGAGGGGTCGACGCATGAGGGGTGCAAGCCCCAGCATGAGGGGTCAACCCAGGAGCTGAGCGGGACCAAGGCGCCAGCATGAGGGGTCGACGCATGAGGGGCGAAAGCCCCAGCATGAGAGGTCGACGCATGAGAGGCCAAAGCCCCCGCATGAGGGGTCAACGCATGAGGGGTGCAAGCCCCAGCATGAGGGGCCGACGCATGAGCTAAGCGGGACCAAGGCGCCAGCATGAGGGGTCAACGCATAAGGGGCAAAAGCCCCAGCATGAGGGGTCGACGCATGAGGGGGGCAAGCCCCATCATGAGGGTCAGCGCATGAGCTAAGCGGGACCAAGGCGCCAGCATGAGGGGTCAACGCATGAGGGGCCAAAGCCCCAGGATGAGGGTTCGACGCATGAGGGGCACACGCCCCAGCATCAGGGTTCAACGCATGAGGCAAGAGGGCCCAAGGCCCAAGCACGAGGGGTCGACTCATGAGGCGACAAAGCCCCAGCATGAGGGGTCGACGCATGATGGGTGCAAGCTCCAGCATGAGGGGTCAACCCATGAGGTAAGTGGAACCAAACTGTACAAGCCCCGGCATGAGGGGTCAACCCACGAGGGGTATAACCCCCAGCACGAGGGGCCAACGCACGGGATAGTAGGGGCCGACGCCTCAGCATGAGGGGTCGACGCATGAAGGGCCAAAACCCCAGCATGAGCGGTCAACGCATGAGGGGTACGAACCCCAGCACGAGGGGCCAACGCATGAGGTAAGAGGGGCCAGAGCCCCAGCATGAGGGGTCGACGCATGAGGCGCCAAAGCCCCAGCATGATAGGTCGACGCATGAGGGGTCAAATCTCCAGCATGACATGAGATGTCAACGCATGAGGTAAGAGGGGCCGAGGCCCTAGTACGAGTGGTCAACGCATGAGGGGCCAAAGCCCCAGCATGAGGGGTCGACGCACGAGTTTTCAACGCACCAACTCCCCAATACCCCCAACCCCCCGACACGCGAAACCTCCAACAGGCGTGGGCATTGCATGCGAGCAGCAGCAGCAGCAGCAGCAGCAGCAACAGCAGCAACAGGAGCAGGATCGGGACCAGGAGAAGGAGCAGGAGGAGCAGCCTCAGGAGCAGGAGAAGCGGGAGGAATACGAGGAGGAGGAGGGAGGAGGACGAGGACGAGGAGGAGGGATGAGGAGCAGGAGGAAGAGGCGGAGGAGGAGGGGGATAACCAGGGGGCAGGAGGAGGAGGAGGAGGCGCAACAGGAGCAGGAGCAACGAGCAGGAGGAGGAGAAGAAAGAGGAGAAGCAGCAGCAGCAGCAGCAGTAGCAGGACTCCTCCTCATTATCATCATCCTCCTCTCCTCCTCCTCCTCATCCTCCTCCTCCAACCCTGTTTCCCTGTCCCTTGCCTCCTCCTCCGCCTCCTCCTCCTCCTCCTCCTCCTGTTCCTGCCCCTTCTACTCCCTCCTCCTGCTCCTCCTCCCTCGCTCCCCCCCCTCCTTCGCTCCCTCCCTCCCTCCCTCCCTCCCGTCCCTCCCGCCCTCCTCCATCCTCCCAATTCCCTCCCTCCTCGCCGTCCCTGTCTATCTACTTCCCTCCTCCTCCTCCTCCGCCTCCCCCTCCTCCCCCCGCGATCCTAACTCCTCCCGCTTCCCTCGTCCCTCCCCCTCCTCATTCCTCTCACTTCCGCCCCCCCCCCCATACCCCGCCTGGTAGGAGGAGGAGGAGGAAGAGGAGGAGGTGGAGGAGGAGGAGGAAGAGGAGAAGGAGGAGGAGGAGGAGGAGGAGAAAGAGGATGAGGAAGAGGAGGAGGATGAGGAGCAGGAGCAGGAGCAGGAGGAGGATCGCTATGAAGCACCCGAATCTCTATGAAGCACCCGAATGCGTTGAGACTGGCTTGCTGGCAGTCAGGTTGGCCGCGGGGCTGGCCGTCGGGCTGGCCGTGGGGCTGGCTGTAGGGCTGCCCGGGTTTGCTGGGAGGCTGGCCGTGCGGCTGGCCGTCGGGCTGGCCGTCGGGCTGGTCGTGGGGCGGGCCGTAGGGCGAGCCGTGGGGCCGGCAGTGGGGCGGGCCATCGGGCTGGCCACGGGGCGGGCCAACGGTCTGGCCTTCGGGCGGGCCGTGGGGCTGGCAGCAGGCTAGGCCGCGGGGCAAGCAGTCGGGCAGCAAGGGGGGCAGGCCGCCGGGCGGGCCTGGGGGCTGGCCGTGGTGCTGGCAGTCAGGCAGGCCGGGGGGCCGGCCGCCGGGCAGGCCGCGGGGGAGGCCGCCGTGCAAGCGGCGAGCCGCCTCGGCGGCGCCATCAGCCAACGCGCCAGCCGCCGCCGCCGCCGCCGCCGGCGGGGGGCCGGCAGCGGCGGCGGCAGGTGCAGCCGCCGCGACAGCTGCCGCCACGTGCCGGCCCGCGGCCCGCCGGCCAGGGGAGCCGGCGGCGGCGGCAACAACGGGGGCGGCAGCAGCGCCGGGCAGCGGCGACGGCCGCGCCGCTGGCGGCGCGGGGGCGGCCGCGGCGGCGCCGGCCACCGCGCCCTCCGCCGCCGCCGCCGCCGGCGGGGAGCCGGCAGCGGCAGCGGCAGCGGCGGCGGCGGCAACCGCCGCCAGCCAGGGCGGCGGCGGCCGGGGGCCGCCGCAGCAGCGGCAGGCGGAGGACCCAGGAAGGGCGGCCCGTCTTGGGCGGCGGCGGCAAGGCGCTGCCGCCGCCGCAGGGCGGCGCCAGTGGGGCAGCAGCCGCCAGAAGCCATCGCGACGGGGCGGGCCCGGC